TGTGTGTGTGTGTGTGTGACAGAGAGAGAGAGAGAGAGAGAGAGAGAGAGATCTATTTTATTACTTTGTTTTTCAACTTTCCAGATGACCTCTATACACACAGTACCAATGTGTTAAAATTTCTAAGCCTTTGGGCCTATTTCCTATTAAAATTTTTCAAATCAAATAGGAGAAATTTCATTTAGATCAAAATTTTTTTACTTACCAGTCCATCTTTGTCATAGGGTGAGTCAAAGTTATCCAGAAATTTCCGGAAGACCTGTTCCTCTGTCCACTCTCCATTTTGGTACTTGGGATGGTGTTTTGCATTGTACAACTCGCGAAGGTCTTCGATTGTGATGACGCCATCTCCAGTCTTGTCTAACTTTCTGAAAGCTTGCATGATTACCTCTTTTCTGGCTCTGGACATGGGAGGCTAGATGAACAGACACGTATACACATATGCCAATGAGCCTTTCCTGTATTACACATGATGAAATATCTTACTCCCTCCATAACGTGGACCAGCTTGTGTACCGCTACACGAGATGCACTATGATTGCCCACAACAGGCTCTCAACCCATTTGCAGTCTCCTGCCCACAGTGTACAAACAATTTGTGAAAACCAAACCTCAAAGTAGCCAAACCAAACCACGTGAAAGCCAAACTTGGCAGATCACCCTGATTCACAGCCTACTTACTCTTAAAGTGAGAAGAAATTCATTGAAGTCTATTGTTCCATTTCCATCTTTATCAAATCTCCGGAAAAGCTCTTCAGCCTCTTCCTTTTCCATGACCACAGCATAATCATTTAACCCCTTTACAAATTCTTTGAAATCAAGGGTTCGGTTGTTATTGTCATCCATAATTCGAAACACTCTGAAGAAAACACACGCACACATCAAGTAAAAAACAAAAGCAAAAAAATCCCCACAAAGAACAAGGTATAAGTGTAAAGATTTAAAAAAGAAAATGACTCAAGGTTTTTCAAAGTGAAATACAGAAGTCTGAGATTCTTGTCTGTGCCCTGCCAAAATTGGAAAGCCTCTTCTCAGCTTCTCAAAAAGAAAAATAAACCCTAAACCACACACATGCAGATTATCACACACACACACACACACACACACACACACACGCACGCACACACACGCACACACACACATACACATACACATGCACAATTGCACTGTGGGATTCTAATTATATGACATGTTCCAGAAAGACCCATGTTAAAGGCTTAGTCAAGAGCCGATGGCACTATTAGGAGATGGAGAAACTTCTAGGAGGTATGTCCCATTGGAAGGAAGTTAGCTCATCAGGGGTGCCCTTTAAGGGGACATTGGGATCACAGCCTCTTCCAGTTTTTTTTTTTTTTCTCTTTGCTTCCAGGCTGCCATGAGGTGACTAGCTTTGCTCCACCATGCACTCCTCACCAGGATGTGCCACCTCACCATAGGCCCAAAAGCAACAGAGTGGTCATGGAAATAACGAGCCAAGATAAACCTTTCCTTCCTGGTAACTTGTTTCTCCCAGGTATTTTGTTACAGTAATGGAGAACTCCCACCATATGTAACATTTTTTTAGGCATCCGAACTTTGCTTATTGACTCAAAAAGACCCAAACCCTTTCCATCTTTCAATTAAAGGAAAGCAAAAAAATATAAGTAAGTACATCAAAAATCCTATTTTAAGCTATGTTTCTTGATAAGGTCCCCAGAACCTATCATAGAGTATAAATGTTGGTTTTCATTTTCCCAACATAATCCACTGACCATTTAAAACATATAAATACTGTGTTAGTTACAGAAAGACTGCACCTAGAAACATGCCTCATTATATCCAGCTATGTTGGATCACCTCCACCCACAAGGTACTCACGTCCTTCTCATGAAAGAAATAACATAGCTTCTAATTTTGTTTAATTATTATGCTTCAGGTTCTTCCATCCATCTCATCACACCCTATTACATGATCTTCCTCCTTCACACATTCCCTTTCTCCTCCATCATCTGCCACTACCTTCAGAACAGCTCTGGGCATTTTCTGTCTTGCTAGTATTCTGACAGGTAGAGAGAGTTCTCCGTTAGGATCTCAAAAACCTGAGCTTAATTTTCAGTTCTACTGGTAAACTGGCTTTGTGACTTTAGGCATACCTTGTAACTTTTCTGGGTCTCACTTTGCTGTAAGAGACTCAGTCAGTTAATCTTTAGTTCCACATGAATGCTAAAATATTGTACAATTTTCAAGTCACAACTTACGCTTTTGTCTATGTTAGTTATTTGTAACAATAATATAGATTCTTACTCCTCTGAAGTTCACACTTTATGTAAAAATCAAAAAGAACACTTTGCATGAGAGCATCACATAGATTCCTGAGGGAGGAGACCTGACTATTTTTATTTATTTATTTATTTTACTGTTACATGTTTACAATATTATGATCATTCTGTCAAAATTCACTTTCTGGATGAACAAATGATAAATTAACAAACAAATCACACGGATACAGGAAATGGATTGATCTATTTTCTTTGTAAAATATATGTAAACTTATAAAATATAGGTAAATTCAAAATAAATAATGTGTCATTTAAGCATCTTATGTTATTCAATAAAATTTAATATTGATTAGGTACATATAAGGTACCAAACTTTGCACTAAGCCCTGTGAGGAGGAATACAAAGATAATGAGACTTCCATCTCTGTCCTTTTAAGGAGTTTATTGAGAGAGAGAAAAACTCAGAAGAACAGTCATTATTCAGTAGTTTTCATGAGAAGTGACATCATAAAAATAAAAGTTAAGAGAACTCTAACAATAGCGATTGAATGATTGGAAGACAAAAGCCTGAGAGCAAAGAAAGCCGTAAGAAAATCTTAGGAAAGATGCTCAGTGCCTGCACATAGGCAATTGAGATAAAGGTAAGAAAAGAGATCACAAGATGTTGTAGAAGTAGAGTCATCAATGTGGTGGTCAATGAAGGTACTTCCTGAGTTTCCAACCCAAGGAACTGATAGAGTGCCTTGAAAGGGTCAGAGCTGCACAGGAAGCTCTGTTTGCAAGAAGGGATGATTAATTTCATTTTATTTTGGACAGTAAGACAACTATTAAAGATACTCAGTAGGTAACTGGCTAGTGAACAAGTCACCAGGTATTGAAGAAGGAGGAGGAGGAGGAGGAG